AACATTAGACGTGTTTTATGTGCTCGGCGATTTTCCGCTTTCAAAAAAAAAGGATCAAATAATTTTGTGTAAAAAGTGGATTACAGTGCTGCAAAACACTTCAAATATTGACAACGGTATATGGTGAAACTATTTTGAGCAAAAAAAATGTTGGCCGAGAACAAATGGTGTTGAAAAATCGTCGAATTACTATTAAAGAAGTGACTGAAGAAGTCAGTATCTCTATTGGCTTAAAGTTTTGGGCGTGAAACGTGTAGCAGCAAAATTTGTTCTGAAACCGATTAATTTTGAAGAAAAGGATCGTCGGAGGAGCCTCGCTCAAGGATACTGATCTTCACAAGAAGGTCATAACTGGTGACGTCATGGGTATATGGTTATGATATCGCAACCAAAGCCCAGTCGTCTCAATGGAAGATCCCAGAATCGCCAACACCGAAATAAGCGCAAGTTCCATCAAATGTCAAAGATTTGCTTACTCTTTTCTTTGATTATTGTGAAATAGTACATGAAGAGTTCTTACAACAATTTCGCACGGCCAATACAGAGTATTACCTTGAAGTTATGCGCCGTTTGCGAGAAGCAATACGAAGAATACGTCCGGAATGTGGGAAAACCATTCATGGGTCACGATAATCACTGATCACTCATCGTTGCTTGTGTCTAACTTTTTGGCCAACAACAAAACCACAATCATGCCTCAGCCACCATGTTCACTGGAGATGGTCCCCTTGCGTCTTTTTCCTTTTCCCAAAACTCAAGAAATCCAAGAAAAGAAGGAGGTTTGGAAAGATTGAGGAGATTAAGAAAAAATCACTGGAAGAATTCAAGGTTATACCAGAAAGTACTTACCAGATATGCTTCAAGGATTGGGGAAAACGGTTGCACAAGGGGGGGGGGGATAACTTTGAAGCGGACAATATTAATTTTGATAAATAAGTAAATACTTTTTCATAAAATTTAATTAGTAGCCGAATTATTAAAAATATTACATTTAAATGGATTTATGAACAGTGCCAGTGAATACCGAAAAAGAAAGAAGACTTTTAAGAACAAAAAAAGCAACCTAATATATTTTCAATTGCTATTGCTAATGAAAAACCAAAATAAGGAATTTTTTATTTAATTAACTAACCTAATAATTATTCTAAAAAACAAAAACTTACTGACTACTTATGCACTTTGAGACATTTTGTAATTCGTTTAATTGACCAATTTTAAAAATTGAGTTTTTGATACGGAACTTATTAACAGCATTCTGAATGTTATACCATAGTTCTTTACGACTTTTTATTGTATCTGCTTTAATATAGTCCCAAAACAAAAATCCGGATTACATGTCGGCCATTGAAGAAGCGGACTTCTGCAAATCGATTTATTATGTATTGCATCCATCAAATCTATGAAGTCATGTTGTAAAAAATCTAAAAACGTCGCTGCATCAATATTTGAAGGTAATTCAAATGGTCCTGGTACATAATTATTTACTACCTCTATAGACCGACCAACAAATAAATACAAATAACACACATAACTGTCAAAATTACTCAACAAAACCAAACAAAGTCCACTTTAATGTTGTTTAATGTAAACAATAATACATTTTTTTCCTAAAAAATACGAGAAAATACCTTGCCTGCCTTATCAGGAATTAAATTTGAAAATATAAAAAAAAATACGATGGTGTTTTCGCAAAATACTGTGTGCAGGTGGCTCTCTATCTACAAGTTATCGTAAAAAGCGCAAAACTCGAAAGAAAAATTAGTTTTATCACCCAGTAGCTCCGTATTGTTTTTAGGATATAGGTTTATTTGACAAATCGAAATACTTTGATACAAAGAATATGTTGCTATTCTATGGCTCATGCGTTTTGAAACCAAAGTATAAACATAATATAATATATAACCTTTGTTTTTAAATAATCTTAAAATTCCATCAAAAGTCGAGACCATATACTTTGAGATATACCATACCTAAATAACCGACAAGGTGAAAAATAAATTATAGACGTGGAGTTTTCACGTTCTCGAAATGTCACAAATTTTTGTGTATAAAATGATGTTGCATAAGCAAAACTCAAATTGACCTTTTGATATTCCGCTCAAGAATTTCTGACAATGTCTAATTTTACTAAATCAATGATAATTGACGTAGTCCTGATGAAATAAGGAAGGCTTACGAAAGTTTTACAGACAATACATGTTTGTAAGTATATATGCTTGGTATATATTAATAATAATAAACTTATGTATTACATATTTATCACAATTTTGCTCGTTATTTGAGGTTGGGTGGAGACACCGCGTGTTATTTATTTATATTTTATGCAAAATAACGACATCGCATCGACTATGTACGGTTACGAATGTTTATTGCAATTTTCCCGACAATAAATTTCAAAGGTTGTCATAACAATTATAATAAGTGTCTTTCGTCACAATTATGTTAATCCAGATTAATTATTGTAATTTGAAAACGCCGGTTTTACTATCTGCGTTCCATATTATTAGCCGTATCGATTTTGCCAACATGAAGATCGGTTTACAGGGTGACTCACAGCACACTCCATACGAGACATTTGGATATGAGACGCCCTGCATAATTTTGCATTTTTTGTCTCCGCCGTCGCTTTATTATTTTTGTATATTTTGTTACTCTGTACCACTCTAGATATATTGTATACTGTTTTTCATCAGTAATAAAAAAATTTGACTCCAATTTTTTGTTCAATATTTACCAGTGACGTGAGAATCAGATTTAAAGGTTTTCAATAAAAATTATTAATTAAACAGTTGCCGGTTTTGCTATGTATTAAAATCGTGTATTTCTTTGTTTCAAAACACTGCATCATTCGGATAGAAGTCAGGAGGACAAATTTGTGAGAAATTGAAAGGGATTTGTTGGATGTTTTTCTTTAAAAAAATTGTCCATGATAAAAAAAATATTTTTTTTTGTCTGTTCGTTCTCTATTCTTCATTTTTAGGGTTTAACGGTGATAATTTTTTAACGCTTTGAGCTGTGGAATTGAGATTCTGCTTATTTTTTAACACTCGCCTGTTTTTTCTCGATTTTCAGTTGTTTTTTGAGCAACGCTATGAAACAGAGGTTGCAACGGAACCTATTGAAATTGGGGGCTGGGGGTAAAGAAGTATTTTAAAAAATTTGAATACCAGATTTGTATTGGTCCATGGAAAAAATCTCGATCAAGAAATTTGGCCAGAGGCAGTGCCATAAACTTTTATTCTTGATAATTGTCAAAAATGTACAGGGTGTGGTCGTTGTTCGCAAAAAACTGAAAATTGAGTTTCTTTTTTAATGAAAATTAGCTATAACTGAAACACTATGTTGCAGCACTCAGTTTCTTTTACATGGACAGCTAAAACTTCTATATTTCTGGTTTTCTGGTTTGTACAGGGTGCGCGCGTTATTAAGTGATATGTTATTACACAAATGGCTGAAATTTAGCAAGAGGGTAAAACTCCACCCCTGTAACCCTGTATTTATAAAAAAAATTGAAAACATTTCACTTACAAAAATTGTTTTCTCTAAAAACATTTAGGTAGTCGGAAAAGAAACAGAAAAAGGAGCATTTTTGAAAATTGCGCTTTTGGGGATAAATTATTAGCTGTTTTTTTATACCTTGAAAAATCGGACTTTCTGGTATAAGTATATTTGTAGGGCTCGCCTAGAGCTACAATTTTCGTATTTCCGTTTTTCATTTATAATACAGAGTGTGGAAAAAAATAAGTCGGAAATCGCTACTGATGCTGTGTGTGTTTTTTTTTAAATAAATCGAGTGCTTGTTACTTTCGAAAATCAGAGCGTTCATCTTTTTTTTTTAGATTTTCGTTTGTTTTTTGGACTTTGCTATGAAACACGATAAGTGTCTGAAATTTGAAGCCATCCACTTGAAATTTGGCACATATATAGAGTTTAGCTCCGTAACGAAGCCTGTTGAAACTGGGGGGGCTTGGGTGTCGAGAAGTATTTTTTAAAAATTAAAAACCGCACTTCCAGGGTATCGAAAAAAAATCATTTCTCCAAGACGGTATATACGATCGAAACAATTCTTTAATCAAACGATGCGCAAGATCCGGATCAAAAACCTTTATTCTTGATGATTTTTTAAAAATGTACAGGGTGCGTCGGCAATTTGCAAGAAACTGAAAATTGGTCTCCCTTTGTAATGATAATTGACCATAACAAGAAGGCTGTGATTCTGATGCCAGTTTTTTTTACATAGCTATATAGCCCGTATGGACAGCTAAAACTTTTGCATTTAAAGTTTTCACATACTATACAGCGTGTTCGGGATATTCCGTCCTATATTCATAAATGACCCAAATATGTAGCTATCGATTTGAAATTGGGCACGGAAGTGCAAGTCCGTACCCACATCTAAACAGAATTTGAGCGTAATCAAGTATCACCAAATATATTTTTTAAAATTTTGAAAAATTTCCTTTGAATATTTTGGATTCCAGAAAAACATGATTTTCTCAAAAACTATTCAACCGATTATCAAAATTTTAGAACCAGGAAATGCGGGAGATCCGGGGCTATGACTTTTATTTCAGACATTTTTTCGATTGTATACAGTATCGTAAATTGTAAGAGAGAGTTTCAGGTTTCGTCTATCATACAGGGTGTGCGAGATACTTGGAATAGTATCACTGGAAATCGTTATTACTTGTACAATTTTTTATATTTATCAAAGTTTGTCGTGTCTTTGAATTCGGCGATACATGAAAGACGCTTTATACACGGTGTATGCACAATACAATTACATCAATTTTGCGAAAGTTCCATAGTGGTCCGCAGGAGGACGATAGGAAAACAATGCGTCCCTCAAGAAAAAAAAACTGAATTGGCTTCTTTTTGCCCCACCAAGCGACGATTTTTCGAAAGCAACTTTGTTTAAAAGGCACTTTATACTATATAAGGAAAAAGCAAGGAGGTTTCGCGAGAAATTCAGTAGTAAATTAAAACAAAAATTTCTGGTAATCAAGTGTTTAATTCGACCACATGTAGTATACACCCTACACAAAAATTACAAATACGCAGAGCCGAAATAGACTCGGCCCGACAAACAACAATCTAACCCTATACGCGTATGATTACATCTTGTTACCACACAACGATCCTAGAAATTCCAGAATTATATACGGGGGAGTACGAACATCGATAAAATTTTGATATTTTACACTACTATATATACAACGACCTTCAAAAAATCTATCTACATAGGTGATTCGGGAGCAACGGTGAGGTATCAAAAAGTGAAGGGGTGGAGGGGGAAACGAACAAAATACCGCGCCGACACGGACGAAAACTAATCCGATATATATAAAATATAACAAAAATTTACAACAAAGAAAATATTTTTATGTACAAATCGAATCTTCAACAAACCGCATCGTAATTTCTGTATACGGTGTAGCTCACTACTGCGGCAAATTTTTAATAAAAAAGATGCTTGTATAGATGCGATGAAAAAGTTGCTATTATACAAGGCATCTCGTAAGTGCCTCACAACTTCTCCAACTCCCAACTTCTTTATTTTAAATGGATAACTCGATCTGATTCTTCAAATCACTGCTGAAAAGGCTGAAAAATGAATATATTTTATTCTTTCGAACCTCCATAATTTAGTTAGATAAGATGAATTATTTTGGAAATTGAACTTTGGTAAGTCGAAATATTTCGCGAAGACCATACAAAATTGTTTGGTCAATTTTTTCCTTAGCAAGGCGAAGGTCCACTAAGACTTGTTAAGGAAAATTCGGATCCCATTAAAAAGGGGAACTTCAGTCGCAGTTTCATGAATGGTACAGTCTTGGGAATCCTGGAATTTATTCCGAATTTCCCGTCAACGAGACTATTTTGGAAAGACATCTGCCGACTTGGTGCTTGAAGAAAGTGCTAAAAGAACAAAATTTAGAACCAGATTTTGAGGCTCAAAATGGGTCGTTGAAGAAGCGTTGGACACAATAAACTTGAATTTGAAAATTAATGGTCACACATCCTACGATGTTTATACAGCACTGTTGTTAAAAATTAAAATATGTAATAAAAATGAGAGGACAGACATTTAAACACATATTTTGCACACATTATGCATATAATTTAGGTTTTCCTTTTACTTTTTCTTTAGTTCCATTAGTAGTGTTTTCAATATTTATTTTTTGGTGCTTATACATATAATAAATCTGTTTTGATGAAACTGGTTATGTACGTACTATTCTTGAAATGGATTAAACACGCCTGACCTCAATAACTCGAAGTTTTGAGAAGCTTAATTAATTTTTTTCTCAAATGCCTCTTCGAGTTACCAAAGTCCGATTGTAACTCCTTTAAACGGTTTTTTGCTATTGTTCTTTCTAGTTAGCATCGTTTTGACCAAGTTTGGTATGTTATTGTTTTTTTTAAATAACTTTGCAAATAGCATAACCTTCTATCAACTTTTGAACATCTTGTTTTAGATAAATCGATTGCCAAATTGTTAAATGCGTATGCTTATACGTGCAAAAATGGTAAAAGTGCTTTAGTTAGAAATAATTACTTTCCAAAGACCACAAATCAGGTGATCTAAAGCATATTTTCTGGAGTCACCTAACTCCCTTGACGTAAATAAAACCAAAAACAAGTAAACCTTTGGCAATTTAGGGTTTTTATTGACTTTGGATAGAAAATATAAAATAGTGTTTCGTTTACTGTACAGGAGATCAAGCTATTAGGATTAAGTACATAGGTAAATCTGAAGGAATCGGCCAAGAAATAATATATCCATTTAAAACAAGGAAGTTAGGTGCTGTCATATACTTAAGGGATACCCCGTATAACTGCAACTCTTTTATTCGCATGCAACGCATCCAGACAAACAACTTATGTATTCAAATTTTTTCGATAAAATAAACAACTATGGAGATATCAAAGAACCCCGCAATGGTGAGCTACCCTGTATATAAGGTGCGAGTCGAGGAACTTTTAAACGTTTCATAGGTACGCCAAAGAAAAATAACTAATAAATAATATCTCTATAGAACACAGAATCACACATCACTGCCGAGACGTTTAGTGACTAAACCTGAACTCGTACCACTTTCACACCGATATCTCCTTCTTCTCCGGCACCTTCTGCTCCACAACTATCGAGCTCTTCGTCGTGACCAACTCTTTGGGCACGCTCGCGGCTCCAGGGGTCACCACCGCCTGCGGTTTCACTTCCTCGGGCTTCTTCTCCTCCGGCGGCTGTGCGCTGACTGCCAGCCGGGTCTGGTTCTGCTGCTGCCTGTTCATCAGCAAACTAGGGTTCGGGATATTTCTGATGTTCTGGTTCTGGTTGGGTCTCAAGCTGCGGATCTGTGGATTTACGGGTCTGAACTTCGGGATCTCGTTGGGTTTGGATGGGAGCCTTTGCAACGTCTGACCTCTCACCGCCTGGTTGATGGCTTGCAAGCTAGGGATCTGAGGTCTCGGCTTGGCCGCTTGGTTCGGCATTGCTTTGTTTAAAGAAGAATGCTCGGTCGCTACTTTGGACAACATCTGCAGATTGGACAATTGCACGTTGTTGTTCTTGACGTTTTCCGAAACGTTGGTCAGTTGTTTGTTGAGTCCGTTCGGAGGTGGCTCGATTTTGGGCCTCTCAGGGGATCTACTAGGCTTGGACAGGTCCAGCGCTCCTATGTTGTCGCATCTGCAATTGTAAACAAAGGAAAAATTGAAAGCATTCTTGTCTCTATCTGTTGTAAAGAATTTTTGTACTTAAAATTTTCAAATTCTCATATATATAATGACTAATGAGAGAATAGAGTTAGGAAATGACTTGTGGCTTTTGAATCAGTTTTGTGTTTTAGTGTTGTTTTTAAATTTTTAATTAACAAGGTAAATTTTTGCTCCGCATACAAGTGTAAAAATAGAAGTGTGAAGGCAAGCGATATATGACTTCAGGTGTATCGTACTTTTATCTGATGATACCATTTGGGAAAGATGCGGCTGATCGCCATTAGCAGGAAAAATTTCCAGCATTCTAGCTGTAATTTGTAGAATGCATTTTAAACCTACGGGTTAGTTTTGAGAGGCGGACATGACCTCTATTTTTGATTTTCTCAAAGATCTTCAGAAAAAGTAGTGAGCCAGGAGTCTCCTAAGAATAGACCTAAAAAAATGGAATGAGCAGAGAGGAGTTTTAATAGTAATAAATTATTATTGCATCAGATCACAGGCAATCTAGATGTGCAAAATCTTAGCTGCTAACTTGATTCCTAAATTTTTACCTAAATAAAATAAATGTAATATTATGACGACCTGCAAGTATTAAGATAAAGAAAACAATAATAAACAAGGAAAAGATGAAACTAGCATGAAATGGTGGAATATCTGAAGCACAGACTATAGAGTTATTATATTAAATCGAGAAAGGTGTCAAAGTTGGTGAATACAACTAGCTTATACTTTTCGGCCACTATTATACTATTAGCGAGCTTTCTTATGCCAATTGGCGGAAAACTGTAGAGCTTCGAACCGAAACTTGTAGCACATCTATTGTTCTTGATATAGAAGGGAACCAACAAGTTCTCGTTCATTATTTGCCTATTTTGATATGTGTGCTATTTACAAATCTTCTGGATTCGTTCTGCATCGGTTGTTGGTAAATCGAAATTGCTGATACTGATATTTAGTTAAGCTGCGAAGAAGCCAACAGGGTGGTCCAGAAGATTTGTGCTCGTGTAAAAAGATTATATAAAGGATAAATTTTCATTATAAAATCGCTGCTATCAAAAAAAGTTCTATCTTATATTCTACTACAGTGCCGCAACCAAATGACACCCACCTGTCTGGTAGTTTCGGTATGATACTGATGCCCGACTTTAGATTCATCGAATTCTTGATCCTCTCCAATGGAATTGTTCCTGGAAGCGGCCTCTTGGCGACGGGTTTCGTTTCTGCCGGCTTCGGGGTCTGAGGATTGATCAGCGTAATTTCCAAGCTTGGCCTCTTGTCATCGGTTTCGCCATCCGCTTTCCTCTTGGTCCCCACTTCGACCTTACTGACGGTAAACCCGGGGGGATACTGAGGCGTCCTCATTACTTTCTTGTCCGTGGGTTTCTCGTGGCCGGTGTTAGCAGATGGTTTCGGCTCGATGGTGCAACGCTGTTGCAAACTAGCGATCTTCCTTTCCAGCGATTTGTTATTGGTGCTGATGGGAAACGCTTTGTTGGGTATTCTGATATCGTCCGTCGCTTTACTCTTGGCGTAAGATTGAATAGTCTTAAGAAACGTCTTCTGAGCTTGCTTGTCAGATTGACCGCTCCACTCTTTCCGCGCGGTTTTTGGCGGTGACGGTTCTGGTTTGGCACTCGGCTGCGTGGTGGGCGGTTTCAATGAGCTGGTAGCTTCCTGCGCAGATTTAATAGCGACTGGATGGATTTTGATAGCCGCATCCGCCGACGGTTTGTTGTTGTTGTCCGCCGCGATTTCCTTCTTCTTCTTCGGCTCCGGGGGACAGTAAAACGTAGGCGATTCTTTGATTTTGGGCAACTTTATGGTGGGAATCACCGGCTGACCTCTATCCTCCGTGTGCTTATGCCTCACCTGTCTCATCTGTAACAGTTTCTCCTTTGCGCTTATCTCCGTCTTGTTGTGGTGTTTGTGTTTGTGCCCGTTGGTGGTAATCTTCACTTTGAGCTTCAGGTCTTCCTTCTCGTTCGAGGTGATCTCCGCGTGCAGCTTCCGCTTCTTGTACGAATTAGACTCGTTCTTCGAATGTTTGCTCTTCTTTCGCTTTTTGGTCACGTGGTAGTTCGCGTACTCCTCCTCCTGCCGCGTGTCCTCTTCGAATTTCTTCTGGAGGGCCCACTCGCGGTCCCGTTTTTCCGCGAACCGTTTGATCTCCTCCTGGTCGGGTTCCTCGTACTCGAACACGCAATCTTTGATCAGTTTCTCAGGTACTGGTGGTTGAGGCGCTACGGTTTGGGTTTTGAATTTGCTCTGCAGTTGAAGGTGGGCGAACAGTCTCTCCTTGTCTTGCTTCTCGTTCTCGGTCTCCTCGGGTCTCGTCGCGGGTTCTTCGACTGGTTTCGTTTCAGGCGAAGGTACCTTCTCGGGTTTCGGTTGAGGCGGTTCGCTGTTATAGCTGGGAGTGATGGGGACCACCTGGAGTTGTTTCCCGCCCGTAGAGAGTGCCGTGTTGACGATCTTAATAGGTCGAATCTTTTTCGTCGACGGGGTGAAGATGCGGTAGAAGAATCTCATCGGTTTTTTCTGTAACACACCAGGATGTTAGGGGTCAAAAGAATGGAAGCATCTTATTCGCGTTCGGAACGGTTAAGTTGTTTTTTTTACGGTAGGTATTTAATGGCGGCTTTATCGCTCGCTCCTTGTATCTATAAAAGCGCAAACTAATCTAAAAATAGTACCAAAAATGTTCGCGTAAGCGAGGTCATAGCGGTCCCATTTTTAACGGCGCGCCGTTGCGTTTTGGATGGAAAGATGAGTTGTTGAAAAGTTTTACTTAGTAAATTACAAGCCGATGTACTTTTTCTGACAATATTTTTCTCCATAACTTCCCACGTTTAATTTCTTCAATTTACCATCAACCTCCTTATTTAAAAACCGTTTTTGGAAAAAACGATTATAAATAAATATGTATTTATTTAACACTTGGCTAGTATATTGCATTAGTTACAGAGACCCCACCTTGAACCCAACATTATTAAAAGAAAACAGATTTTAAACAATACATTTTTATTTTTGCAAAGTTGTGCTTTTTACAAACTGAATATCAAAATCATTTGGGACATGACTGGCTCTAATATTACTACTACTGATGGTAAACTTTTACAATTTTATTTATACTGCTCGCATAAAAATTGTTAAAATATTCTTCCAGATCTTTAGCGTTGCCTTGAAAGCTGGCGTCAAACACACATTCATCGTTTTTCCTACTACCTAGCAAGTTTTTAAAGAGTTCCCCACATTTCCTTACTGTCGCTTTTGCACCTGTCTATATTTTCCACATGATAGTGGCAGTAACCACTGTTTCTTTTCTTTTAATAGAGCTTTTATTGACTTTAGGCTATATTGCATCTCAGATATACTTATTATTTCGGATTGATAAAGCCAATTTGGAAATTTCTACAATAAGTGAGGTGTCACTATGTTTTAAGAACCATTGCCTGAAATTTAATACCTACAAAATAACTGCAATAGTATTCTGTATAACAGCAGATAAAATGAAATTACTACAAACCTGAGTAACCCATTAAATAAAAAAAATACTTTACTCGACCTGTTTAGAAAAATTGTATAAATTGAAAATTAATCTTTCAATATAAACATGCATTTTCCAGACCTTTCAAATCGTTGCTTTGTGAATCGTTGGTTCTGTATTGTGATATTGTCTATGGCCTCTGCTTAACATCAAGTATTTGAATATTCCAAACAGGAGTATTTTGAGATTCTAGAATTTATTGCTTTAATTTAATTACACTAGTATTTGATCAAAGTTAATCAACAATTGGCACATCGTGACTAAAGTGGCGTTTATCAAAATTATTGGATAATGTAATATTAAGATTTTGACTTTTGACTATAGTCTTGGTTTATGTCAAATATTTTATTAAATATATATATTATATTACGTAGACGTATTGCTGTGGGCTTATATTACCTACCGAAAACTTAAATAGTCCGTCTCAAATTTTTTTGAGCATCCCTATATGGAAAATTTGTTATTATTTGATTTTATGAAAAACGGGCAACGTTTTGCTTATTTTAAAAAGTCAGAGTAGGTGAAAAAAATAAAAAGGCCGTCCATAAATTGTCTTGCTATTATACTCATGAATTTAGAAAATACATATTCGTTAGTTTGTGCTTAGGTGATATGTTTGCAGCAATTGTGGTCGCTGAGGTTTTTACATTTCCATATACAATTTCATTCCGGACAATTTATTAAATATTTTTATTTAAGTAGCTTCTGATGATTTTTTTTGCGTTTTCAAAAATATTGCAAAAAATTAAAAGGTATAATATGTAAAGGGTGGTCAGGGATCACAATGTTATCGAAAATCTAAACTGGGAAAAAACAATTGATTTCAATTTTAACACTTTTATTTGGAATTGGAGGTTTGGATGTTGCCTGTGTGATAGTTTTATTTTCTTTTTAGACATTTAATGAAAATAATAATAAAAATGGGTTGTTTTTGGTTCTGTACTATATTTTCGCAAGAAATTTTGACATAGGATTAATAATTTTCCCGAAATTTCGAACTCATTATTTAAAACGAAAAACAATCTCCCATTCTTAAAATTATTTATATCGTGCACGCTTTCATTCGAAAATCGTGGAGAAAAAAAACGCTGATCCGACTCAAGTTCGCGTAACCTCTGCCTTTCGCACGATTGCCCCCTCCACCTGATGCAAGATCGGCTAAAACGGTCTCGCGTTCCCGCGAACAGTCAAGTAGGCCATAGAAATGCAAATGAGAGCTCGTCGGCAATTATCGCCTTTTACAATTTTATTAACGACACGACGGCGTTTATGCGAGCGGGTCGGGTTTTTATTCGCGTTTAAAAATAGGAGCATGCATCCACTAATTATAATAAAACGTCTGTTAAACTATTTAAAAACAAAAATTCAAAAACTAGAAGTTAAAAATTAAAATTAAATTATTTTTTAAATTCGTGAATTTTAAATTATTAATTAAAATATTAAAATAAATAAACTATGGACAGAAAGACGACATATTAAAATTTAAAGGTAAATTAAAATTTTAATTTAATAATAAATTAAATAAATAAATGATTTTTAAAATAATACTCTCTACTCGAGTGATACATTTATTTGACTAACGACACCTGTGTTTTTTTAAATATTATCATGAATATATAAAAAGAATAACCCTAACAGCAACTAACCACCAAACTAGAATCTCGCAACTTCATCACAAAATTTAGAAAAATAATTGGACAAGGACACTTTTTTATGAAAATCGATTTTAATTTATGATGATTCATTTTAAATGAAAAATAACAATAATATGATAATAATGTGATGATAATTATGATAAAAAAACGTTTTGGTTAGTGTTGGTCAGTATAAGTTGGATATACATACAACCCTGAAACAACTAGTGACCGTAGTAATATTAATGGATAGGACACTTATGTATGTAAATTATAAGTTATAATAATTTTCTATTTTTTTTGTAAAATATGTTTTTTTAAATTTTGTTGCTAGACTAGTCGCCATGCTTCATGCGTCCAGTCACTGCGCAAATTTAGGCATACATAATTTGTCTAATGCACAAAATTTGAGATTATATTCTGATAATTTTATGATACATTTTAATATTACTATGCCGTTAGTTGTGGCAATGCTATATGTATAGTATTTAAAATCTAATAAAAGCGACGTCACTATAAAACAGCATCAATTTTTGTTGAGATAGATTTAAGCACTAGCGGCTTACTTAGTCGATTGCTGTTTTTAAGACTTTCTTTGGTTTTCTGTCTGGAATTGGCAAATAATAAATTGACAGAAAATTTTTAATTTTGCTTAATGTTATCATTCATTTTGAATTAATTTACTAGTAAGACTATTTGATCGATATCTACAGAAATAGAACTGAACTAGAATGAAGGTTCACTTATAATTGTTACCAGAGGAACCAATAGTGCATTATGCAACAAGTGCGGTAAACGGCATTTGAGTTTATTTGACACGAGCGGAGCGAGTGAGTTAAAAAGTTTACATTATATTACAAAATTACAGTTTACATTTTCGCAAAACCACACGAATACATTCACTGACATGGCCGTCAGAATTGACAAACGTTGCTCCCAGACCCGTGCGGTAAAATCCCGGAAATGTCCGAAGTGGCTCGGATTCGTGGGAAACGAAACTGACGTGGTAAGGCGACGCTTCCCGCACGCTAGATCGGTGCGTAATTAGGTATTTTACACACGGGAGTAGAAAAAAAATATTTCAAAGAAACTTAAAACAGTAATAAACAGGGAGAAACCATAAAACACAACCGATACCGGAGGGATATTTGATGAAAGATCATAAATGATTTTTTACTCCGAATATATATTTTGAGAAGCACTTGATGGTGTTGATTAAGGAATTACCATAAATGGCAACACACTGAACAGTATAAGCTACGCAGACAATACCATCATGTTTGCAGAGAACTTCGAAAGTTTACTGATGAAGAGAGTGATCACTTAGTCCACGTTTTGGATTCGAAATGAATTTATAGAAAACTAAATGACTGATGCAGAGCGAATTTCGTGAAGGCAAATTTTGTGTTTTTGAAAAATTCCGTAATATATTTTGGGGCGTAAAAATCAAACTGTTGGGTTGTTACGTCTTCTCATGTGTGTGGGTAGAAGCACGGACAGTCGCTAAAAAAACTACCAAAAGATTGGAACAATTTGGACTTTGGCTATACAGAAGAATATTGAATATATCTTGGGCACAGAGAGTTACCAACCAAGAAGTCTTACGAAAAATAAATAAAGAGCTATAATTGATTGACAACCAGTCGGAAATTCCAGTACCACGGTTATAACACGAGGAGCGGTATAGATCACTACAAGAAATCTTTCAAGGCAAAATCAGCAAGAGAAGGCCGGGGGCGAAGGAGAATATCTATCTTGGTTGGTAAATCTAAGAATTTGGTGCCGCAAGATACCAGCAGAACTAAACTATCTGCACTTTGAGAAGAAATAACCCCAACCCCAAATATGTTAATTTATAATAATAAAAATTATAATACCTAATTGAAGTCATTACATAAAAAATGCTAATTTATTGGTTAGTTGCACCAAAAAATGTGTGTGAGCGTGTTGTGATTCGAAGTTCCAACGAATTTAAAGTCCTCAAACCTTAAAAAAAATCTTAGGCCAACATGTTTTCAGATTTTTGGATATTTAGACGCACCAAGCGATAGATAGCAAAGCAGCCTAATATGTGGTAATTTTTTATTCATGATTATGAGGCGCCAAGGTGTTTTCTGACAGATTGACTTTTCAAACACATTAGCAACGTCAGGATAGGTAAAAATAACTCTCCATTATCACGTCTTCTTATTTTTATTAACAGGTCTGTAGAACCATAACTTCTTTTTCCTATAGGAACGTTGCCATGAATATTCCTCACCAACCCGTCTTCATAATACGTCTGCACTGCACCCTGCCCCCCTACTTTGAACCGATGAGCTAACGTTCTGATTCTTGCGCTTATGCTCGATATATTT